CCCTGCCTGTCTCTGACCTAATCCTAATGATCTTGCTCTATCTTTCCCAACTTCAACCACGTTAGAAGAATGTTTTATAGCTGCTGTTGAAGCAAAGGGAGGCTGTGATTTGATTGAGGTTTGGGGGTGGAGTTATGGATTGTAGTCCTTGTGGCCTTGAATAAGTCATTTGAGCTCTGAGCCCTAATTCCACTCTCTACAATGGCATGATACCAAAGCAACAACTGTCGTAGGATAGGCTCGATTTAGAGGAATGTATGAAACATGTAAAGCCCTTGCCATGCTGTAAGTGCTGAGTAAATGATGGCAATTATCTCATTAGATGCTTTTTGTTTGTTTTTGCTTTTTAGCTTCTACTCCACACCCAACTGATTTTGTGACTTTTCACAGGGAACTACACATTATAAAACTCACTTTTCTGATCTGCAGTTTAGGAACCAAAATAGATGTTTTCTCATACTTCACAGGATTCTTATGGGCATTTGTCATTGTTGTCCTCATAATGGATCTCAGCATTGCCATTGTCTCATTGTCATTGTCATCAGCATCATCTCAGCAGCACCAAGATACTTTCAGTTTCAGATTCCCACAAGCCAGTTTTGGTTTCCATAGTTGGCTACTAAGAGGTACAAGGCAAAGGCTCAGAAAGGAGGTGCCAAAAAAAAAAATCTCATCCTCTAACAGTTTAGGGATAGTCTCAACTTAGAGTCAACAAACAGCTGTTCTTGGAAGAGTTCTTGAGAAATCCCTGTAGCTAGCATCATGTCAAAATCACACACATCAGTTAATTTGTTCCCAGCAGAATATCAAAGCGATGGAATCCCAGTGGCAGGAGCCAGATGGGGTTGCAAACACTCAAAATGTTTACAGCACAGTGTTGCATCGTTCACTTGACTGTTTACTGAGCACCTCTGCAAGGAGTGTGTGAGAATTCCATACAGCCCAAGTGTGGGAACATCACAATGCAAAGATAAGTGTGGAGTTCAGGACTGTGCTTGGGAGGGATGGTGGAGGGGAGAGTCACAGTAGGACCCCAATAGCATTGACAATTCCTGTTCTTTAAAAAGCTATGTATCAGATATAGCTGTTTTATGATGTCATGTATTCATAAAACTGTTTCAGTATATGTCATATATATATATATATATATATATATATATATATATATATGTAACATTTGATAATTAAAAAGAGAAATAGCAAGAGAAGCCCCCAATTGAGGAACATCAAGAAATCACACACCATGAGGGCTGTATATATTTTTGCCTCCTGTTAACTAGTATGTCCCTGTCACTTCTCCTAAAGCCTGTTGTAAACATGACTGATGGATAACTCACTGTGTGGCACACTGTTTCCTGTTCCCCACTTTCCTGGTGTTTGATTTGAAGGTGTACCCTGGGTACCACCTCTGCAGTTTCATATTTGTCAAAGTGTAGATCAGTGGACTGAGGGCTCCTGGGAACATTTTGTTTCTGCTCTGGTCTAGGACATAACTCTGGCAGACAGTTTGATCATTTACGATTGCTCTATTTTAAGCAAAATGTCCTTGTGTGATTTATTCCCAATGACACCAACCTGCAGCACAATCTTCAGCGTCAACTAGACCAGTCCTTCCTCTTAAACGCATCCCCTAAGCAGTAGTCTTTCGTAGTCATGTCAGAAGCTGCCAGAACTGTGAATATTCTCTTATCTCAACAAAAGGGAAGACTGGAGTCTTTCAAGGCATAAACAAGGGAAGCATCAATGGCTCTGAGCTCAGGCCAGTTTGTTACATGTGTGATCTTGGCAGCAGAGCTGTGAGGGCATATTTGCTGTTCCTCTTGTCTCAGCTCCTCATTTCCCAGGGAAGGAGTCCAGAGCTGTGTGGCAGGCCTGTGGCTGCCAGGGGTGAAAGGATCACAGGGGCTGTCTGGTGATCTCTTAGAGGCAAACGATTTCTACACCTGCCAATACCGTGCGTGAGGAGGAGCTGGGAAGCACACAAGCATTGCTTATGGGAGTGTTAGCCGGAGGAGGCAGGCTCCGTGGAGGACATCTTCACCCAGTCATCTTCTTTCCTGAGCCAGGACAGAGTTGGGAAGAATCCAAGGCTTTCTGGCAGTGTTCTCTGTTTTTGAGTGACCTCATTGGCCCTGTTCTGTTTCATAGGGCAACAGTCAGGCTTTCAGTAACCAGACATAGGCACTAACCAGTCAGAATGAGGAAGGGCTTTATGGTAGAGATCTTCAGGCATCTGTTTAGCTGCTGGGCGGTAGAGTGGAGGAGAAGGATCTGGGGGGGGGGGAATGTGACTGTGGGATGGGGAGAAGATACAAAGAGCTTTGGGCACCTTCAACTCAATTGTTAGTACAGACTGATTTCAATATTCAAAAAACCATCCAGGCATGCTCCTACTGAATGTCATTTCTATTCTGCCCGTAACAGAGGTAGATGAAACCCTCTTATCTTATCTGCTTCTGAGCCATTGTGGATGAGGGCTTGTTAAAAACTAAAGAGAGCCTGGTTTTCACCTAAAGATCACTGAATAGGACTCCCAAAGTCCAGATCAAGACCACTATCCAAGAATTCCTGGACAACTAATCTTTAGTGACTCAGCTCTAACTTTGGAAGGGGTTATGACTTGAGAGATGGAGTCCGAGGGGCAAGTGTGTCTAAATGGATTGTGTGCATGAGAGGAGCAAGCCTGTGGGATTGGCAAGCTGACAGATCCGTGGCTAATTTGTTGACTCGATCCTGACCCAGCTGTTTCAGGCTGCAGGGGCACCAGGAAGTTGACCTGGTGTGGACTAACATTCCGAGTTTTCAAGAGATGCCCAGATTCAAGAGTCATTGTGTCAGTTTCTAGACTCACCAAGTCAACACTACTTCAGATTCTTCTGCTCTAAGAGGCCTATTTTGGAGATGGGTGAAAGGTGAGGGGTGAGGGTGCAAAAAAGGAAGATGAGCTCTGTTGGAGGATCCTGATGCTGCTTAGTTCCTTTTCTCAGGATGGTCCTTGGGTGGTGATGGCCCACTGTCATCTCTTAGCTGTCCTCCCATTTCCTTTAAACAAATCCTACCATTAACCCCTTTGGTGGCAGGGACTGAGCCTGAAGCATTGGGGCACCTTCCAGGGCTTCCGAGTCTTAGTTGGGAGGTTTGCATGTACAGGAGAAAATTTTCCCTTCAGACTTGGAGTATTGGGTCTCTGTTATGTTCTACTAAGGAGTAGATTTGTCAATGGAATGTGGCTTGATTGCTCCATTTAAGCCCAATTGCTAAAGCTTTCTGTCTACCTGGAAGACCATTTCTCCCTTGCTCATTGTGACTCTTGCTTTTCCTTCAGGATGCAGACTGTGTTCTGACCTCAGAGAACAGGCTGTGTGGATTTCCTTTTAACTGCACAGTGCTGGACAGATCTTTGTTTTAAAAATTCCCATCTGAGGTTTTAAAGTCCTATTTTTTGTTGTATTATTTTGAGACAGGGTCTCACTATGTAGCCTTGGCTAGTCTGGAACTTGCTATGTATACTAGAGATCCTCCTGCCTCTGCCACCCCCTCCCTCAAGTCCTGTGTTTAAAGGTACCATAAGCCACCATGTCCATCAGTGCTGTTAAAAACAACAACAACATAAATAACATCATCATCAACAACAACAACAATCAAGTCCAGCATTTGTAAGGAACCATTAAGCACTGTTTAAGTTGTTTTATTATCTTAGGTAACCACCACAATACTCCAGTTAGGCTGGCATTATTACCCTATTTATGCAAAGTAAAATCTGCCTGATTAAGCAGGATAGCCTGTCTAGAAAGTGATAGATGAAAACCTGAATTCTATGTCCAGCAGAGCCTGCTGGCCTTGTCTGAATTTGTAACCAAAACTGCACTATATTGCCTTGTAGCAGTTGGAACTCTCATTGTTCTGGACTCAACAGTGGTCTTTTGGTTCATAACACTACAGTCCCCAGCTGGGCTTTGCTATCAGATAGTTGGGGTTCGTATCCCTGCCTCATGTGGCTAGAACAAAGGAGTGAAAGGCGCTCATGAAACTGATATTCGGCAATCTTGTCAGCCCATCTTGTCCAAGCGCTCACAAAGCACTACAAGATGTGATATGCTTTGCGAGGCATTCAGTTCTGGGAATGGATGAAAGGTTTGGTGCTGGGGGGTGGTGGTAGTCCTTGGAAGCATGCTAATTTCTTAGGGCTGTTACCTGTCCAGATAGTGTACAGTGTGCACGGCAGTATACAGAGTTTCATGTTCCAAGTTATTTCCTTTTCCTAGGCATGCCTCTCTGTTGTCCTTTAAGCAGCCTGCTTGATAGCCACGAACATTAAAACTCAACGAACTGGACCTGTCACCACTGAAGAATGAGCTAGACATCTAATGGTCTGCCGCTCTGGCTGGACCTAATGAGAATGCTTTTGGGGGTAAGGGTGAGACACAGTCTTCATACTTAGACAAATCATGGTGTGTTTCTGTCCTTGTGACTGCCTTGCATCTTCATGTGGAGGGCTGTCCTGAGTTCAAGAAGGCAGAACTGAGTATGCTGATTTCATGACCTATACCTGAGTCACACTTATCTTACAGAAAGGCAAGAACAACATGCTACGGTGGACTCCACCAGTTCCAAGACTCCGGCACATATGTCGTATTCCTTGGCAGGATTATGGTTTCATTTTATTCCGTTAATGCCTAGAAAAGCCTACAGATAATTCAGTTTGCCAAGTGTGTAGGTGGGTAAAAGATGCATGTTTGAAATCCAGAGCCCTGCAAGAACTGTCTTTGGGAAACGTCTAATTAGACCTGCCTTTTTTTTTTTAAAGTGGTACCCAGCCTTAGTAGCAAATGGCATTTATGCATCAAAGTGTCCACATTGATGGGCATGAGATGAATGTTAAGTCACGACAATTACATTTAATGAGAACTAATGGGATGTCTTAGAGCATGGCGCTGCCTCTCAGAGCTGCCTCCCCCCCCCCGCCCCCCCCCCCCCCCCCCCCCCGCACGCAAGGCTCCTTGGCTGGACCTGCTCAGTCCAGTGCATCCGTGCCGAGTCACCTGGTTTGGGCCCTTTCTCCATGGCAGACTCTTGTCTCTTTCCCTCTTCTGTCAGCGAGGTAGACAGTGCTTCCACACCACCTGCTTTATATCCTTCCCTGAGACGTTCATTCATCCCTCCTTCTCGTCTATATTTGTTTCATGCATGAGTCTTCCTTTATTCCTCCCGTCTCTCTACTTCTCCATCCTTCTCTGTCTACTTCCTTTGGTAACAGCTCTCCTCCAGGATTTACCCATCCCTCCCCTCCCCTGCCCCCATTGTCCTAAAGGGGAAACTAGTCATCTGCTTTAAAGGGCTAGGAACCAGGGAGGGCAGAAATGTTGGAATGCAAGCAGAATACAGATCTAAACTCACTGCCCATTCAAGGTTGCTTTCACGCACATTTTGCTTTGAGGGAAAGGATGAAAAGTCTGTACTAGCATACATATCCCTTATCTGCCTTTCCATGCTCCCTGTATCCACTGTGTACAATATATGGGAAGAAACAGGCCAAGAAGCGTAACGGATGACGATCTCTTGGCATTTGGTAGTCAGCATTCCCTCTGGCCTCATTTGCAGCAAACGCAGGAAGTAACCCTCTTCAGTTTGGGTGGGTCCGCAGAATGTTCAAAATGTCCATCTCATACCATTCCCCCAAATTCTCTCTTTGCCACTGGAGTTATGACTGTGTGGGAATGAAGAAGCTGTGGCCTCAGAAGGCAGAGGCTGTTGTAGTGTGATGAGAAGAGAGGGAGATGGCGACAAGGTTAAAGATGCCCTGAGAGCAATTTCACCACAGCCATACTCTGGCTGGCTGAGGATACATTGAGCACAGAGGAAGAGCGGTCACCACTGACACCTTCCCCATCCTTTGGCCCAAGCAGTGGGCTTGGCTGTATTAAATCACTAAGTTTAGAAATGCTCTGGGCAGTGGTGGTGCACACTAATCTCTGAGTTCAAGGGCAGCCTGCTCTGCAGAGTGAGTTCCAGGACAGCCAGAGCTAAAAGAAAGAAGGCCAGCCTCGGAACTCCTGCTTTCTCATTCCTGTGGGTTTCAAACGGGAGATCAAGGAACAGCAGGATGTGTGTAGTGGAGGCAGACTGTATTTACATGCCATTCACCTCTTGTGTCTTAAGAAAAGCCACTTGAAGAGTCATTTACTGGGAAGCACGGTCTGTGTGGCTGCAGCAGTGGGCGCTGAGGTCAGGGTCTTGCCAAAAGCTGACTTCCTCCGAAGGTCTGTCTGTTGTCCAGAGTGAGAGCCACTTCGGTGGGCAAATAGAACGGTCATCCCTGCTGCAGACGGGGGCGCTTCAGGCTGCGGCCCTTTCAAGGTGGCTGGCTGTTCCAGCTTTCTAGAGGTGGCTTGGGAGGCATAATGTTTGCTGGGAGGAGGGCTGTAATTCTGAAATCTCACCGTTTTGACTTGCTGTAAAATAGAAGAACAAAGGACCACGGATGAGATGTGTGATCTGCCCCCAGCCCTTTGATGATAGGATTTATGTGCTTTGCTCTACAGTTGTTTTCACTCAAAATGCCTCATTCATGTTGTGTGCATTCAGCAAGTATTTGTGTCTTCTATGCACGATGTAATGTACCGTGTCAGGTGCTGTTGATCTGAGAGTGAACAAACCCACCCTGCCCAACAGGAAACTGTAAACACTGCTGTGGTGGGAGAAGAGTAAGCTTCGGAGGCAGTGGAGGAGCATGTAATGGAAGGCCTTTCTTGAGTCAGAAGGATTTAAGAATAAGAGTAAATGGGGCTGGAGAGATGCCTCAGTGGTTAAGAGCACTGACTGATCTTCCAAAGGACCTGGGTTCCATTGCCAGCACCCACATGGCAGCTCGCAACTGTCTGTAACTCCAGTTACAGGGGATCTGACACCCTCATACAGGTACACATGCAGTCAAAACACCAATGAACATAAAGTAAATATAAATACATTAAAAAAAGAATAAGAATGAATAATTTGGGAGAAACAGGGTTGGCCGTGGTTTTGGAAAATAGGTCTCTGGAAATACACAGTCAACCTTTCCTCTATTCCCTCTGCTTTTCCTTGAGGTCTCTCTCAAGTTAGGCTTTTCTTCATGAGCTCTACTGATGATCCCAGTCTGAGTCTCCATAACACTTTAAAAATGTTCATCACAGAGCTGGTTCCTGGTCTCCTGCTGTTACCATCTAGCCTTCCATATGTTGACTGACTTCCCTATACAGTAAGACCATGAGGTGAATATGCAGACCAGCATTTCATGTGTTCTTTTAAAAGATGAGAGACTCAGAGTCAAGTGTGGTAGCACAGGCATTTGGAGGCCAAGGCCAGGGCATTAAGAGTTTGGGAATAGCTTGAACAATATAGTGAAAAAAAAATCTGTCTCAAAACCAAAATTAAACCTAAAGGCAAACATTTGAAATCTAAGATCCGGCACTCTGGGCCGGTACCAATTCTGGCTGAGCTAAGGAGCAGCTCCTGTTTTTATAAGACTGTGTCTCCAGTTTGCCTCAAGCCCCACCTCACTTGGCTTCCTCTCATGCTCCCAGGTGGTCATGCATCTTGCTTGGCAATTGCAGGTGTTTGTTTTAGGCAGTCACTATTCCAGGGCTTAATAAAGGTCTCTTTCTGTGCTACTTCCTGAGAATTGTTTCTTTGTTCCATGAAATTCTATCCTTTTTGTCTCTAAAGGTCCCATACTTTTTGCTTCTCACTGTTTCTTGGGACTTGCTAAATGACTTCAGAGTTTGGGGGCTGTCTCTGATGACTTGGAGTATTGGACAGCTAGGGCATGGAATCCTTTAGATTATATGAACATTGGAAGCTGGAAGAAGCCCTCCCAAGGCTTCTGTCATGAGTTTGAGGCCAGCTTGAATGATATAGAAAAAAAAATCTGTCTCAAAACCAAAATTAAACCTAAAAGCAAACATTTGAAATCTAAGATCTGAAACTCTGGGCCTATACAGTTCTGGCCGAGCTAAGGAGTGCCTTTCTATGCATGCATTTCCTTACAAGCTTAGCAGAAAAGCCTGGGCTTTTGGAACAGATACAGATGTCAGCTATGTGGTTTTTCACAACGTTGTTAACTCCCCAAGCTTCTGTTTCCTCACTCTAAATGAAAATGAAAATACTCCCTGCCCTACGGGATTGTCGTCAGGGTTTAATGAGATGGAACACGTCGAGCGCTGTGCACGGTGTCTGCTAGCGTATTTCATATTTAGTGAAGGCTTAGCAAATGGGAAGGAACGTCATCCCATCCGTTTTGTAGGGCACGGGTGATGGTGGGATAGTGGTACAGGTGCTGGTATGGGGCATGATTGATGGGTGTGGTGATGCTCAGTAAGCTGAAGGATGATGATGAAAATCATGTGATCCCTTTAATGTCACCTTCTCCTTTTCATCATCTCTCTTGCTTCAAGGATATTAAAAAAAAAATCCATGCCTTCTAGTGCAAAAGTATCCAGACTAGATGTTAACTCTGACAGTGGATGCCACAGAGGGCACATTAAGTCAACTGTTACAATTATCATCTGATGTGACTTTGACGTCATCTGAATTCTCCCGTGTCTGAAATGTTTCTGTCGTCTGGTGAAAAAGTGCGTGTCAAGCCCCGTGTAAGCTCTTCACACGTCTTACATCATTTAATCACATCTCCAAGCCTGTGTGTGGTCACTGCTTTGATTTATTTTAGTTTTATGTGTATAGGTGTCTTTTGTTTGCATGTCTGTATGTGTACCATGTGTGTGCCTGCAGAGGTCAGAAAAGGCATCATATCTCCTGGAACTCGAGTTGTGGGCGTGCTGGGAGCTGAATCCAAGTCCTCTATAAGGGCAGCAACCTTAACTGCTCAGCTATCTCTTTAGTCCCTATATTATTATTTCTATGGATTAGGCAAATAAATAAATAATGAATAATTAAACAAAGCCCCAGAAAGGTGAAGCGTTTTTGGCTGGAACCACCTAATCAGAGCCGTAATTCAAATCAAGCCATGTTTTCTTCAGGCTGTCTCTGGATCTCAAAAGAAGCATGTATGGAGGGAAGGAGGAGTGTGTCTAGCAAGGAGGAGGTGTACCTGGTGTGAGTGGGATGGGGGCTGTTGTATGTGAAGATTTTATTGGTGACTGCCAGCAAGGTTGGCAATGTCCACCAACATGACAATCTCATGATGTGCAAAGCTGGGAGGCTAAAGAGTCAGGGTCCCAATGTCACTCCATTCTTACCTTTTCAGTTCCATTTTTTGAATTTTCTGGTTTCACTAGGATGGAGGGTGGGGCAGATGCAGGCGGCTTGACTGGTGGCTCACTCTTGATGGATATTTCTTTGCCTTCCATGATGACAGAACTGGCTGGTGAGTGGACCCTGGTCTTGGCACCTTTGTTGATGCAGGTCAGGGCAGGCTCCCCAGTGGAAATGGGTTTAGGCCCAATGTCCACCGTCATTGGCGTTAGGGCAGGGGTCATCTCCTGTGGCTGACCCAACTGGAACTTCTGAGGCTGGATCACCATGGTGGAACTGCACCTGAGGGGGCCCACCATGAAAGCCGGGATCCCAGACTGGACTGGTCTCTGCAGGGATCCATCTGGGGATGACAGAGCAGATATCAGCAAGAGGATGTCTGACTACAGTTTGAATGTGGGTTGAGTGTGCAATGTGTCGTGATATCCCACCAGAGATAGACAGGTGCTTTTCTCATGTGGCTGAGCTCATACTCTCATGGGGTCTGTCTTTCAAACGGGATTGTGTGTGTGTGTGTGTGTGTGTGTGTGTGTGTGTGTGTGTGGTTTGGGGATGCTGGCAACAGGTAACTGATTCACTGAATGCCGTGAGAGGTGTCTGAAGGAATACTACTTCAATTTACATTTCTCTCTCTCTCTCCTTTTTCCATCTCTCTCCTTTTCCCCTGTAGGATGGCTAGGGAAACAGACACACAGAGTTCTACAGTGAGAAGCAGACACAGGCAGACAGGCCAAAGAGGAAGAAGAATGAGGGAACACAAAGTGAGTAGACAACCGAAGGAAAGCAACACAGGGAGAGGACTCGACCATCTGCTTGCTGGAGAAACTGATAATAGAAATTTAAGCATGGCAGGAGGGGCAGCAGCTCAGAACGTTAGCCTTGCTCACTGTCCCTGTTTATTTCCTGCTCAGTGAAGGCTGACAGGCAGAGCAAAGTGTGCATTGTGTCTTACAAGATCTACAGACTGCCAGACAGTGCCTGATGTTTGCTGGTTATCATTACTATGAAGGGAAACATATCGTGCTGCCCAAAGTATGACCCGAAGAGTGACAGTGTGGGTCTGTGCCTTCCTGAGACAGGTTTTCCTCCAAAGTCTTCCCTGAGAGGCCCTAAAGAGGAGGTCCCATCTCATTGGCATAAATCCTATAGGTGACCAAGGGAATGGAGGTTCCTTGCCTTTGGGGAAATGATGGAGAGTTCAATGTTGAGAAAGCATTGCAGGTCATTTCTCAAAGGCTCTCCAAGTGTTTAGAGAACCACATATTATCCAAGATCTTCCTGATGCTTCTTGGACACACTGAACCAAAGTCATTTGTGTCTAGTACTGAGAGCCTGAGTCAAGTTCACATTCTCTGTTGTGGTTGTGAAACTTCACCGAGCAAGAAGTAGGCATGGACACTGAACACAGGTGTGTTCTCAGCTGCCTGTTGCCCTCTCGCTGCCAGTTGCTGAGTCTGATCTTTCCGTTTAGACATTTGTTTTCGCATCGACGGCCGCTTGAGTGGAGTGGGTTTTTGGGGAGACTGACAGCTTGACCTGCCTCACTTTGAGAAAAGGGATAAAGGAAAGCTTCTGGAACTAGGGAAGGCAAAACAATACCACACAGATGTGTCCTTAGTTCCTGTGGGTATGTGGGAAATATGGCTTCTTGCCTTTCTGTTTATCAGCTTCCAACTTTCACGAAGTCTAATGCTCTCTTATTACATGTGCATACAACACAATTGGCCAAAGTGCCGCCAGGTCAGTCAAGAGTTACACAACAATACAGAGGGTGTGAAGAAAAAAAAAAGCCAGTTAGCATGAGCGGAATGCAACTCTCTGCAATGCTAAGTGGTCTACACTGAGGGAATGTTTCAACCCTAAACCAGCTCATAATGCAGATGGACCAAAGACAATCTAGTTGTAGCAGCAAGGAAGTGATTTATTGACTAATAATTAAAGTTAATTTACCAATAACTTTTTTAAAAGCCATGTTTTTGAGAGCTTATTAGTGGTAGACATTGCATTGTTGTCTGTTAATTTTGTCTGTTAGTTAAACCTGATAGGAGTACTAGACTAAGACTGTAGAACAGAGGGTAATTATTATTATAAATTATTATTATAAAGAGGGTGGTAACTTGTACAAGGCGATTATGGTGAATTGGGTGGGGCAGCAGAAAAGAAGGGCTGAAAGTTGAAGCAGGAGGTACAGGCAGTAGGTACAGGCAGGTACATTTAAGAGACTATGCATGCCGTGAGATACAGAAACTGGGCATGCCTAAGTGAAGACGTTTATTTCCTTTTGTTCTTGGGGACTTTCCCTGTGCATTCTGTCTGTTGTACTACTCTTCTGTCTGTTCAGTGTTGCATCTCATGTGTACTCATATGTTGAGATCATACAAGAGGCTACAGGGCCGGCTTTATGAAGGAGCATGCTACACTTGGATTGTGACAGGAAGGAAATCACGCTCTTTTGTACAGCAAGCTTTCAAGATCTTTTTTTGAATCCCCACAAAGGAAACATCACGCAGAAGTTTAAGATGCTGAGACGCTGCTAACAGTAAGGTGTTAATGGCATCTCTGCCACGCGCTGCTGCACCTTCAGCTTGGAATGTTATAGAGGGGGAAAAAGAGTGATGGGACAGAGCAGGGGGTGTGACTGGCAGATGACTTGATTGATCTTGAAGACTTTGGACACCTGGTGGGTTCAGGGTGTGAGTCTTGCCTTTGCATACTCTTTTAAGGAAGAACCTCTCTGTGTGTGTCACACCAATAACATAGAAAATAGTGGGTTTTAGTACTGTCTCCAGAATCTCATCTTTGACCTGCAGCTCCTGCCCACTCAGGGGTGTCCCTAGAAACAGAGTCTGAGGAACACTGAGCCTATAATATCACCCATCCCCCTTTTCTAAAAATAAAAAGCAGTACCCCCTTGGCTACAATCCAATTACAAGATCCCGCTAAGCTTGGGATCACACCATTCACCATGTATGTATAAATGGACCCAGACAGTGGCCTTCACTTGGTCTGGGCTACACTCGATAAGAGCACTCATCCCTTTGGGACTTATTCTTTGCAGAGGCTGAGCCCAAAACCAACACATCGTCCTTGTGTAAAACGTCTGGTGTGTTCAGCTTGGAACCCCCATCATTTAGCTCTAAGCAAGTGCTTCTCTGCCATCAACTTACTTTTTCTCACGCTGCTCCGCCCTTTCCGAAGAGACCCTTGTCCCGAAGTTCCTGGGCTAGGTGTGCTCCTCTCAGGCTTCACTACGGCAGTGGGCACAAAGACAGATTTGAAGGGTTGGCTTTGCTGGGGATTACCTTCTGAAAGGCTACCCTGGGAGGACACAGAGGAGGTGGATAACGCCCATGAGGGGAGGAGAGTGGGGCTCCGGAAATCTGGAAAACTAGATGTCTTTCTTGTTGAACTATTTTTCAAAAGAGAAGAAATGGAGAAAGAAAATGTTCAGTAATACTCCTATTTTTTTTTTAAAGTCAGCTCCCCCAAATGAAGGTAGCCTCTCAATTACCCACCCCATTGTCATCCACAGATGCGGCTAAGTTGATCCCCATTCCCTTCATCTTAATAACTATGTGGGTCCTGGCAGCAGGGAGAAGGGCTCCTGAGGTCCTGGTAGAACATGAACACCCAAGTTTCATTCTTTTGTATGGCCCCAGTCACCCCTCACCTCACACTCTCAGGTCAAAGCCACAGCACTGGTCTTACATGAGTCCACTGCTCTTTCCTCATTTTGTTCATTTAGTCAATTGCTTATTCAGCAGCTTTCCCACTAGATGCTGAAACATGTTGAAGGTGGAGGTTTTTAAGGCTTATTTTACAGCCCCTGTGTTCTGCATGTACTGCTGATTAATGTGTTTGTCGAACGGCTGCCTCAATGCTTTCAGCACTCCTTCTAGTCATTTTGGCTAACACATGTTGAGTGCTTACTGTATACCAGACACTGGTCAGATACTTCACTCTTATTCATGTGAGCTCTTTATAACAGTTTTCTGAGGGAGCATCATTATTGCCACGGGTTTATAGATGTAAAGAATGTACAGAGCCTGTGGGACTGGAGAGAGAGCTCAGTTGATAAAGCGTTTGCTGTGAAGCCATGAGGACCTAAGTTCAATCTCCAGCATCCATATGAAAAAAGCCAGTTGTGCTGGTATATCTTGTGATCCTAGTTCAGGGGAGGTAGAGACAGGCAGATTTCTTGGGAGTTTGCTGGCCCTCCAGCCTGGCTTAACTCTTGAGTTCTAGGTCATAGTGAGGGACCCTGGCTCAAAAGACAAGGTGGATGATTCCAAAGGGATGACACTTGAAGTTGACCTCTGACCTTCACACCCATACATACAGGTGCCTTCCCTTACACACACACACACACACACACACACACACACACACACACACACACACACAC